CTTAAACCGCATTTCATTACACCAAATACACAAAATTATGTTCTTTTTAGCAACATCATATGACCACTTTAATACTAAGTCAGGTGCATGGATGTAATATGGACCGATTGCCAATGAGAGGACTGTAAAGAGTGCCTGTCACTTTCTTGACGCACAGACAGGCAAAGTCAATTTGAAATGGCAAGTGTTTGGTCTAAGACGCTTACCTGATGGCAGGCAGCTTTGACAAGCAGCTCTATTTATAGCCAATGAGACACTGTACTGGGTCTCTCGCCAACAACCAAAAAAAGCTAATGCACTTTTTAGTAGTAGAGATCAACTACACTACTATATTTATCATTCATCCCATGCATGAGAGAGTGGCTGCCAGTTATTTGGAAGTACAACTGGCTTGGGGCAAGACTTCTGTCCCATGATAGCCAATTTATTTCAAGATGACTAGCTGTCCTGGAACATATATCCAAAGTGCGGCACACAGGGCTTGCTACAAAAAACAGAGAGTTATGCCGAGTTCACACTGCACGATTTTAGCCCGATTTTTCACTCGCCGACAAATGCCTGAAATCGGAGGCAAATCTGTGCTTGTTCACGCGAGTGACAATCACGCAGTGTGAATTATCAAGGACGCGATTTGAGGGAATCGGCGACATGTCACCTGCAAAATATTTGGCATGCTAAATATCTGGAGCTGCCGGCGATTCACAATCACGCTGTGTGCAATGATTTCTGACTGCAAACTACATCGGCGATGACCTACAGCCAATGAGAGACCAAGATACAGGGCAGAGGGAAGTTCGGGGAGGAGTAATAGACCAGAATGTCAGTATTTTAATAGATATATGAACAATTATATCATACAGAAACAAGCACAAACATTTGCTTGATGAGCCACAACATCAGCGTAACAGTTACTGCTAAATTATTTACTTCCAACTCTCTTTGCAGAACACCCAATCCCTGTTCCCTGCATCTCCGTTTTTCTTTTTCTCCTTGTAGCTGGAAATCAGCTCACAGACAATTTGCGGGCTATATATATTTTTTAATAATTCCAGTCTCGCTTGAGAACTCCGGTCTGACGCACGCGGGTTCTCACGTTATTTCCTTATCCCTTCTCACGTGTATCTTGTTGTGAAACGTAGTTTGCAGACCAGACAGAGCTTTCGGCGATTCTTTCTATTGTGAAGTCATGCAATGTGAAACCCCCTTTCGCCGATCCATCGTGCAGTGTGAACACAGCAGCAACTGAATGCTACCCCAGATAGTCATGAAGTGTGAAAACAACGGCGATCCGACGAGTTTGAAAATCATGCAGTGTGAACTCGGCATTAGGGAGACGGTAATAAAAATAACATGCTGCCTGCTAGTTGCAACAGTAGTGAACAACTGATATTGGTTTTTTATGACCAAATGCAATACAGATTCTTTTAAAAATGTTTCACAATGTGTATGCAAAAAAATTTTTTTATTTTTTTTATCACAACAAAAAAAACATATGAATTAAGAATTTTGTATCAGTTTTTGTGTGTCTTTAATCAGATTTGTAGGCTGTTGAATTGTAAACTAATTGCTGTATCACTTAAACACTGCGCTGTTATTTAAAAAGTTGAGTAATTAATTATACAAACAAAACAAGTAACTTCGCCTGGGAATAACATTGTTGTGTTATGGCATTTATCAATAAACAAAAAATAATCAAATGAATAAATAATCAATTTACACTACAAAGAAGAAATATCGGTTGAGTTTATAAAATATTAACGTCTATCTCTAGCAACCATATGACTGGGCAGCAATATGACATTGAAATGGATCTGAAATAATTAAGTGGACTGAGGGAATTCATCCACACAAAAATTTTAAAAATGAGAAGAACCTTGTGTACTCATGAGAGGGAAAAGAAAACTAGGTCAGAAATGCCTGCGGTGATGACAAGTCAATAAGATCATCAGCAAGCTGTCAAACACTTTCACACTTTGACGCTTAACATAGACGTCAACTGGAATGCTTACAATTTTTTTTCCATTGCCACTATATTAAAAAAACGCCTCCACTAATGTCCATCATTATTTGACCTCTACCAGTTCAATCCTGTTATTTAAAAGGTTTGCTTACCCAGAAATTACAAGTCCATCATCATTTACTCATCCTCACGTTTTTCCAAACTTGTATGACTTTCTGTCTTCCTCAAAACACAAAATGAGATGTTAGGGAAGATGACAGCATCAGTGAGTCACCATTCACTTTCTTTGTGTTGGGAAAAGCATGAACTCAAAGTGATTGGTGACTAAGGTTATCATCCTGCCTAACATCTCTTTTTGTGTTTTTAGGAAGACATGTGGGTGAGTAAAGGATGACAGAATGCTTCATTTGGTGAACTGTTCCTTTAATTCGAAGCTGATTTGCTTACAACCCAAACAAAAACAGCATCTTCTACTGTCGTGAATCTCGGACAGAACTCTTTACGGGCATGAAAACTTGGAAAAATACAAAACAAGCATGAAACCTCCAAACAAAAGCCCCATCAGTGGACACACTCACCTCTCAGAGACTGACACAAACAAGTCTGAAAGTGACTAATACACAGGGATTAGACCATGTACTTTCTTTCTTCAGGTTCATAACGTTCTTCAGAAGCTTTTAGACGCGTCTATGATAATATACCGATCTGTTAAATCGTTTAAAATCAAATTCCCGTTAAAAAAAAGCTGAAAAACAAAAGACGATCCGTTCCAGGCAGCGTAGTAACGGGAGCTAGTCAGCTAGCAATACTGACACAAACAACTTCATTAGCGCAGAAATACAGTCAGAAACATCCTAAAATATACTCCAACGTCTACATGGAGGTGTCGGGTTTTTGCTCACCTGTCTGCGTAAGCGGCGAGGGCGATGACCTACAGCCAATGAGAGACCAAGATACAGGGCAGAGGGAAGTTCGGGGAGGAGTAATAGACCAGAATGTCAGTATTTTAATAGATATATGAACAATTATATCATACAGAAACAAGCACAAACATTTGCTTGATGAGCCACAACATCAGCGTAACAGTTACTGCTAAATTATTTACTTCCAACTCTCTTTGCAGAACACCCAATCCCTGTTCCCTGCATCTCCGTTTTTCTTTTTCTCCTTGTAGCTGGAAATCAGCTCACAGACAATTTGCGGGCTATATATATTTTTTAATAATTCCAGTCTCGCTTGAGAACTCCGGTCTGACGCACGCGGGTTCTCACGTTATTTCCTTATCCCTTCTCACGTGTATCTTGTTGTGAAACGTAGTTTGCAGACCAGACAGAGCTTTCGGCGATTCTTTCTATTGTGAAGTCATGCAATGTGAAACCCCCTTTCGCCGATCCATCGTGCAGTGTGAACACAGCAGCAACTGAATGCTACCCCAGATAGTCATGAAGTGTGAAAACAACGGCGATCCGACGAGTTTGAAAATCATGCAGTGTGAACTCGGCATTAGGGAGACGGTAATAAAAATAACATGCTGCCTGCTAGTTGCAACAGTAGTGAACAACTGATATTGTTTTTTTATGACCAAATGCAATACAGATTCTTTTAAAAATGTTTCATAATGTGTATGCAAAAAAAATTTTTTTTTTTTTTATCACAACAAAAAAAACATATGAATTAAGAATTTTGTATCAGTTTTTGTGTGTCTTTAATCAGATTTGTAGGCTGTTGAATTGTAAACTAATTGCTGTATCACTTAAACACTGCGCTGTTATTTAAAAAGTTGAGTAATTAATTATACAAACAAAACAAGTAACTTCGCCTGGGAATAACATTGTTGTGTTATGGCATTTATCAATAAACAAAAAATAATCAAATGAATAAATAATCAATTTACACTACAAAGAAGAAATATCGGTTGAGTTTATAAAATATTAACGTCTATCTCTAGCAACCATATGACTGGGCAGCAATATGACATTGAAATGGATCTGAAATAATTAAGTGGACTGAGGGAATTCATCCACACAAAAATTTTAAAAATGAGAAGAACCTTGTGTACTCATGAGAGGGAAAAGAAAACTAGGTCAGAAATGCCTGCGGTGATGACAAGTCAATAAGATCATCAGCAAGCTGTCAAACACTTTCACACTTTGACGCTTAACATAGACGTCAACTGGAATGCTTACAATTTTTTTCCCATAGCCACTATATTAAAAAAACGCCTCCACTAATGTCCATCATTATTTGACCTCTACCAGTTCAATCCTGTTATTTAAAAGGTTTGCTTACCCAGAAATTACAAGTCCATCATCATTTACTCATCCTCACGTTTTTCCAAACTTGTATGACTTTCTGTCTTCCTCAAAACACAAAATGAGATGTTAGGGAAGATGACAGCATCAGTGAGTCACCATTCACTTTCTTTGTGTTGGGAAAAGCATGAACTCAAAGTGATTGGTGACTAAGGTTATCATCCTGCCTAACATCTCTTTTTGTGTTTTTAGGAAGACATGTGGGTGAGTAAAGGATGACAGAATGCTTCATTTGGTGAACTGTTCCTTTAATTCGAAGCTGATTTGCTTACAACCCAAACAAAAACAGCATCTTCTACTGTCGTGAATCTCGGACAGAACTCTTTACGGGCATGAAAACTTGGAAAAATACAAAACAAGCATGAAACCTCCAAACAAAAGCCCCATCAGTGGACACACTCACCTCTCAGAGACTGACACAAACAAGTCTGAAAGTGACTAATACACAGGGATTAGACCATGTACTTTCTTTCTTCAGGTTCATAACGTTCTTCAGAAGCTTTTAGACGCGTCTATGATAATATACCGATCTGTTAAATCGTTTAAAATCAAATTCCCGTTAAAAAAAAAGCTGAAAAACAAAAGACGATCCGTTCCAGGCAGCGTAGTAACGGGAGCTAGTCAGCTAGCAATACTGACACAAACAACTTCATTAGCGCAGAAATACAGTCAGAAACATCCTAAAATATACTCCAACGTCTACATGGAGGTGTCGGGTTTTTGCTCACCTGTCTGCGTAAGCGGCGAGCGGTTGTCCTTCAAGCGTGTGCTTTTGTTGGAGTGGGCGCTGCGGATCCAGTGGACTGACTGGCTGACTCGACCAGGCTGGATTTTCTGGATATCGCTGCGTTTCAATGTGACGCCCCTCGCGTGAGGGCAGAGTGGCCAATCAGAATGCGCGGGTAGGTCACGTGACCAAGTTTCACGCTGACTGGTTTGACGGGATTTGTAGTCCGCGGGTGACTTGCTTGTTTGTGGGTTTCATGTTTTCTTTCATGTTTTTTTTTTCCCACCATCACTGTATATTTATATATAAAATGTTATTTTATGTTTAAATATTACCTATTTTAATAATAACAACTTCATTTATTCGTTTAGAAAAAATATTAGTCAACCATTAGGATATTGTCATATAAAGACGTAACCAAATATTGGTAAGATTGAGAGGGAGACAAATTTAGACAAAGTTTACAAATCTATCTTTAAACAACCCATGTCGATTGACTGCTATTGTGAATATTGAGGAAGACTCTTGAGTCCCCCAATGTCTATAATATTAACAACCCTGCTGTCATGGGCCTGTGATGAACTGAAGGCTATGATTTTGTGCAATCGATTACACAGATTCAAATATTTGCATCACAGAAAGTGGGGATATGCAATGACATCCCTGCCTATCAACTATTCAGATATGATATCAGTGCTAACAGTAATGCAATCTTGGAAAGTAGCCTGCTTGATTTACTAATGATGTAATCGATGACAAAGGTTATAGAGAAAATGTACTATGATCTTTATTGAGAAATTATACCTAGGCTTTGACCATTATCACTAATCAAGACTTAAGTCTGTATGTAGGTGAGAATATAGGTTACTACAGTACACCACATACACTTTTTTATGACGACAATCAAAGTGTGATTTAATGATGTCACAGTTTTAGGATTTAAAAATATTAAATATGGACACAGAAATATGCGTAAGAATTCAAGAAAATTTCTGCATTATTTCTAAGTCACACTTTTCAGTAACTCTAAAATTCAGATTTATTCAGTAACAGTTCGACTGAATATAATTTGTAATATGAAATATGTATTAAAGCAGAAAAATAAATAAATGCAGAAAAATGCTAAATGTAAGCGCTAGTTTCAATAGTGGTCTCGGGCTGTATGTGGTTATATGTTTCCTGTGGTGTTTTGGCCTCTATAAGCTTTCTAGAGAATTTCCCGTTTAAACCAGCTCAGGTCATGGTTTATCATTTGAACATACAAACCCAATGAGAAACTAAATAAGTGGAACATAAGCCTCTGTGTTCCGGCCCAACATTAAATGAAGCTGATAACCATCTAAATGAAAAAAAAAGCACTCACCTATTTGCAAAACAGATGTTAGAGGAGGGCATACAGACAGATCTGCACCTGTCAATACTTTCTGTGCCTGGTATTGAGCCAGTCACTGGAAACTCTCCCAACCTGCATGCGGTTCACAAAGTACATGCAGTTCGTGCCAGTGTCTACTAATTGCATAACAAAACCAGTGAGCTGATCTACTAATAATGTGGTGGAACTGCAGACAAACGGCAGTATCGAAACTAGTCCGGACCAGTGAAAAAGAAGGTGTGAACCAAGGAACTGTCATTTAAATTGAGATGTTGGTGTTTGGTTAGGTTTAAAGAAAAGCAAGTGCCGCTCCCCACCCTGCGACTTCTCCAGAAATCACGACTTGAGCAACACAGACCTTTCAGGTTAGATGCCATATTGAAAACGAGTCACTGATGGATAGACTTAAGAGTCTTTAGAAAAGGCACACACTGTATAAGGGTCCCCTAGATCACATAATATTCACAACTCAGAACTTTTAAAACTGACGTTTCATCAGCTAAATAATCGGTATGTTGTTAAATGGCAGTACACTCTTAAAAATAAAGGTGCTTCAAAAGGTTCTTCAAGCAATGCCATAGAAGAACCATTTTTGGTTCCACAAAGAACCATTCAGTCAATGGTTCTTTAAAGAACCATCTCTTTTTTACCTTTTTGTAATCTGAAGAACCTTCTTTTCGCCCCAAAGAACCTTTTGTCAAACAGAAAGGTTCTTCAGATGTCAAAGGTTCTTTGTGGAACCATTTAGAAAAAAGGTTCTTCTATGGCATCGTGAAGCACCTTTATTTTTAAGAGTGTACAATCCATTAAACACATGCACTTCTATCCTTCACAGCCTAATTTTTATTCCTGTCAAAAATTAAATATGGCTCTACCCTAACTAACTAATCACATGATCACTGCCTGTATGAAAAATATTGAGTGTAAGTGTAAAGGTTACATTATATTTAGTTTACAACACACATAAAATGCATGATACCAAAAATGCTTGACCATATCAGCAGAATAGATCATATGAGCAGCATTTTAATGACTTAAGCACATATAACTTTATGCAATCTATAACCCTGGTCATAAATGTGATGAAGTCATTCCACAAATCAAACAGAACAAACACAGAGAGTTAAACAGAAGTAAAGCAGCAGAGCAGGTGATAATAATCACTATTCATATTTTTAATATTACTGGTTTGAATGAGGGGGAATACACACAACAAGCATATGATCACAGGGCAGCAAACAAACTGTGGAGTGACATGTCAAAGAGATCGTAAGTGTTAATGGCATATATGACTGACTGACTTTTATTTACAAGTGTAGTTTTCCTCCAAAACACTCATGAATGAACAAAAGATCTTATTGTCTTGTTCTGTGGCCTGACAGTGGGAGAGCTCGGCTATGATCGCCCGATCCATCCAGTAGCCAGTAATATCTTCTCTGCTAGCACATAAATCCCCCCAAAAAAGCTTCTTTATCAAAAAATAATAATCAGAACAATACATATGATGTATAAAATAAGAAGCAATTAATAAAATATAATCTGAACCACTAGTATTTGGTTACAATAATAGTTTTTGCAGTCCTTATCATGTAGCCTTGATTTTTTTTTTCATATTTTCATTTACCATACAAGACACACATTCATTACTGTGAGGCTTTGAACCGTTTCATCCAACAATGACAAAGACAGTGACAGAAAAAAAACAATATTCTCTGCTCCAGATTAGATGTAATTCCAAGATATGATGTAAGGAAGCCCCTGAAATGCATCAAAGGTTCATAACAGACTTTTGAAAGCCTATATGAAGGATACAAATTGAATGATTTTGGAAGAATAAAGGGAGTTTTGTGCGTGTCGCTCCAATTCAGGTAAAAGCGTTCCTGGTTTCATCTTTCACACGTCTCTCCAGGTTTCTTAGCAGAAATGCTTGTGTGACGGGTAACAGGCAGCATTCTGTTCTTGTCATAGGATCTTTATGACATCATGGAACACAAATTAATCCGATAATTCCACATTTCTCTGACTCAAGGTTCTTAAGAGCTCTGATATCGGCAAGGTGGTGTGTGTTTGTGGAGGTGAATCAGCGGCGGGCCAAGGGTCTGGAAAAGGTGATGGGCGACGAGCCGTTGTTCTCCGTCCTCTTTCTGCATCTCTACCATTTCTAGAGTCTCTAAAGAGTTTAGGCTCTTCTTTTTAGAACAAGCAAACAGTTCGTGCCTCTCTGAATTCAAACATCGAGAGAACAACAGCTTGAGCCAAGAAACATCACACCGGTGCCTCCTTTTCATCAATGACGTCCAACTTTTGATTCTTGAGTCAGAAAAGGTCATTAAATTACTATCAACGGCACACGTACACTTATTTATATACTTTAATTTGTTGCTATTTAATATATCATTTTACATTTAATTATCTCTAAGTTCCCCCTCTGGGTCCGTTAAGGGTCCCGTTCCTCTCCTGCTAATTGCTCAGTGCCTCTCCAGGGCATCTGTCCCGTCCCGTCCCTAGGCTGCTACTTGCACACGAACTGGTCTACGAGCGACGTGCAGCGCTTGCACTTGACGTAGCAGCACCAGTGGAACTTGCAGTGGCAGCGCTCGTGTTTGTAGGTCTTGAACTGGTCGTAACCGCGACCGCAGCACATGAGCTCGCAGCCATCCATGCCCTCCGAGGTCTTGTTGCACAGGCGGTCCTGGGTGCCCAGAGAGCCGGTGGTCTCGTTACGCAGGCAGTAGTCCGGGCTGGGGTCGATGTAGACCAGGTCCTCGCTCGTCGGGGGGTTAAAGCGGTTGTTAACCAGCTCCAGCTTGCCTCGTCGGCTGATGCGCATGGCGGCGGCGCTGTCGTACTTCTCTTTCAGGAACTCTCCCACACGGCGGAAGTCGGCCAGCTGGAGCCAACAGGTTTTCAGGCTGCACGAGCCGGAGACTCCGTGACACTTGCATGCGACGTTGGCCAGATTGTACACTGCCTGTGAGTGGAGAAAGAATTAGAAGTGTTGTGAGAATATTTCAAGACAATGTTACTTATAATTATAGAAGTATAAAAAATGAGTTAAAAAAAAATGAGTTTTTCCAGCTTGAATACCAAAAATTTCCATTCTTACTTTCCACTGGTGACATCTAATATTGTTTTAGTTATACAAATAAGCACTAAAGAAATATTGCCTGAATCATGCCTTTTATCATGTCAACTTTTCAACTGGTAAAATTATTCAACTGGCTAATATTATCTAAACTCTAAGAACGATAGTTTGCAAGTATCAGCAGGAAAAGAAAAGGGCTGAAAATGATCAACTAATCAATAATATTTTGCCACGTATACCATAATTTTTCACCAAAAAGTGTTCAAGTGTATGAATTTATGTCTGTCTTGCAGTTTCCTGTATAATTATAAAAACAAATAAAAATAATTTCCAGCTATTATTGTAACTTTTCTTTGCAAAGAAAACTTTGAAAAAGATGAAAATATGGTAAAGATGTGTGAAATATGAAAAGATTATAATAAATACTATTTTTGTAAACATTTAAAAATAAATATTAAATAATAAAAGTATAAATGTAAACATATTTAAAATTAGAAATTTAAATGAATATTAAGTCGATCTGTCAAAAAATATATATATATTTTGAACTTTTTTTGAAAATGTTATTTTCATTTGATTTATTTTAATAAAATAAACAATAAATCTAAAATTACTATTTAAAAATCTAAATATGAAATCAATAAAAT